TATCTAAGCTTCCTTGAATAAGTTAATAGGAAAAATGGGATTAAAATATTTAAATAAATACAATCTATAATTTAAAAATATAGTGAATCTTGACAAGTGCATTAATATATCATTTGAAAATACTGCATATTTTGCTGAGCATGGAGATGATTAATTGAACATAGTATTTGTAACTATTAAGTATTCAGTGAATTCAGTGTGACCAGGATGTGTAGGCTGTTCCTTCATACTGAATAATGGGCATGTACTTAATATAAACTGGGGATCTTTTGAGATTTAAATGCAGCACCCAAAAGAAATGAAGTCAGTTGAGAAATAAATATTATGGAATATGCCAAATATTTTTACTGGCTGGTCCGCAGCTCTAGAATCTCCTTTCTCTTGGGGTTCACCAAATGTCAGTCTTGAACATCTTACAGAACTAGAGATGGCCACCAACTTGGGTGGCTTTAAAAGAGAATTAGACTAAGTCACAAAGGCTATAAAGCACTGTCATTATGATGGCTTGATATTGCCTCCTGTGTCTGTATAGCTATGCCAATTGCTTGGGAACAGGAATGGGAGGATGCTGTTGCATTCATATTCTACTTGAAGGCTTCTCACAGGGAGCTGGTTAGTCCTGGTGTGAAAAGAATGTTAGATGAGAAAGACATTTGGTCTGATCCACCAGGGGCCTTATGCTCTAACACCTTTGTACCTTGGCAAATCTTTTAGCAGATGAGGCAATGTTTATTTCTGTTGCTTAGTTTTCTGGTTAGTCTCTCTGTCTCTCTCTCACTTTGATACATGGAAATGTAGATGTAATTAAAATGCATTATAACTAATCAATGTAAATTAATTAGTTAATTAAACTACCTTCTAGTACACCTATGTGATGTCCATAAGTGGGTTAGATAAAGAGCAAACTAGGGATATCACAGAAATCTCCAACTGATTCAAAGTTGCTCAGATTTCTATAAATTCAGCTTGTGGATTTTGCAGTGGACTTGCATTTTCTGAATCAAATGGCTGCTGTGAATTTGTGGATTGATTAAAAAAACTTGGGGGGAAAGTTTAAACAAGAGTGCTTTTGCAAACAAATGGAGTGTTCCTACCAAAAAAAAAAAAAAAAAAATCCAATTCTGACAAAGATCACATGACAGAGAGGAAGGTGTCACACAGATGACATGGATCTAACAAAATCTGTGCATCCTTAGATGTGACACTGTGCAAATAAATAGTAGTAGTCATTTTAAGGCTCTTGGAATAGGAGCCATTCCTATTGCGGTTCCAAATCACCATATTCTAAATATAGGAACATAGTAAGCCTGATCCCAAGCGCAAGTCGGGCCTGCTCATATAAGGTCCAGCATGTGGGTGTTCAATCTTTACTCGAACACCCTCACTTCTGGGGCCTCCACCACCTCCCATGGATTCCTCTTCCATATCCTAGGGATCCTAACCATCAGCAGTGCTTTTTTTGTAAAAAAAAAAAAAAAAAAAAAAAGTGCCAGAACTCATGTCTTGGAGTTATACTTTTACACTAAAAAAGATTTTCAATTCACCAACTTTTTTGAAATAAAGAACTTATTTACCTTTTGCACATAGCCAGGCACTCTACACACACATAAATATAATGGTTGCCGCCGGCAGTAAGCACTCAGCGCACGGCCACGCACACCAATCCCAAGCCGAGCAGTGTCCCAAGCCGAACAGCGCCCTCACAATTAGCACAGACACACAAGCAGCCCACAGGCACTATTTTAATGATTTTTGCTGCTGGCCTGCTATGCCTGACAGGCGATTCAAAATCACTTCGTAAAATCCATTGGAAAAATACGTCAAGAAAAGGTGCCGGAACGCTGTTCCGGTGCGTTCTATGACAAAAAAAGCCCTGACCATCAGGAAGTACTTCCTGACATCCAACCTAAGACCTGGTTCCTTTAGCTTTGCCCCACTGGACAGTGTCCTTCACTCCACCACAGGAGAGTACAGGTCACGACCCTCCAGCATGTGACACCCCTTCACATACCAATATACCACTATAAGATCTCTGAAAGACTGTCGGTGTTCACTGGAAGGAAAGAAATGGGGTGTATGTTTGGGGTGGGGGTGTATAAGGAAGAGTCTTCTGCATTGCTGATCCCAGGCTCTGGAACTCCCTGCCAAAGAGGCTTGGTTGATCCTTCTTTGTTGTCCTTCCATGGATAAACAAAGGCATTTTTATTCAGGCAGAATTTCTGCATGTAAACCAGATTGATGGAGGTTGTTTTAACCTGGTTGGGTTCCATTTCTTTTAACATAATGAAAAAACTATTAAAAGCACAACATCTGTGTTCAAATTGATTATGTTTTAATTGAGATTCTGCCATTATTTCTGTTTTACACTTGTTAGAGCATGTTTTTTTACCAGAAAGTTAGAGTATACAATATATTTAATAGGTAAATAAATGACTGAACACCATTGACATCTAATGTAGCTTTCGGTCTTACTATGAATAAAAGGAAAGGAAAAGTCCAACTTCATCATAGATTCACAGCTTCTATAAAACAAGGCCTTTGTTTAAGGGCAAAAGAATGTGGAATATTTCTTTGCCTTGGGCAAGTAGTCCTGCTTTTGTGATGCAAACAGGAAGGAATGTTATCTAATGAGGTCAGTCAATCACACAAATGCCCATAAGAAGGGTGGAAGGTGAGGAACAAGTCTAGAGCAGGAAAGCTAAGTTTACTCCAGGCTATGGCTACCCAAAAGGCTATTCGGAGTAGTTAACCCATTCATTGCTTTTAAGGACTGTAAGAGAAGATGGGGCCTATACCAGAACTTTTACTTGCCAAGCAGCAAAACTTTTATCAAAAATTTGTTCACAGTTTTTGGTAAACATGTATAGATGATATTCTGGAAGAGATTAATGATCAATTCTCAGTATGGCTACAAATAAAAGAATTAACATCAACAATTGAACAATACATTAATTTTGGCAGTGACACTAGTAGAAGTCTATCCAAGTGTGATTTTAATACTGAAGACCTTGAAACTTCATGTGTTTCCATACGGTGCCTTATTCTTTTTGGTGTAAATTCAAGCTAACCAATTTAGTGCACGGATTTATACTACTTACCAGAGTTCTTCCTACCTTTACTTTTGCAGCTTCCTAGATTTCTAGTTATGGCAAACATTAGTAGTATGCCTAGAAGGCATCCTGAGCAAAGTCTTGACCTTTCCTTTCCTTTCCTTTCCTTTCCTGGATATTTCTTTATACTCAATGGGTTGATTTACATTATTATTGTCAGCCAAATGAGCTATAGTGGCTTGTTTATGCTGCAACAAGAACCAGGCACAAATGGGATAACCACTCATCTGGCTGCATCATGTTGTATGATCCAAATCTGGGTGGCATGGCTTGTTTGAGGGTGAAACGATCCTCAAATAGTGCCACAACAGCTCATTGGTTGACCAGGCAGCCAAACTGCAGGACCTGCATTTACACTGCACCATTCCTGGCAGACATGCGACCCAGCGCTATACATGTTTAGGCTATCGGAGATCAGAACCATTGACAACATCTTCCTAACAGTTTCTGAAGTGGGAGTCACCTTGACATGATGCTTACTACTGTTTTTCAAAGCCCCACATTTTGTTGTTTTGAAGGCCCAGTAAGAACTTTTCCGGGAACACTGACATCAGGAACATAAGTAAGAAAGGTGCAGGTTCAAGTGACCACTTTTATAAATGATGCATACTAATTTGGCAAGATCTTTGATCACAATAATTTTTGTGCATGTTCTTTTAACTGCAAGTTAGCTGTAAGAACAAAATCCTAAATCCATGTACTTTAGTACTGTTATTACACAAAATCCAAAAGGTTGCATGCTTTTGTGATCTTTGAGTTGGGTTAACAAAGGTACTATATATATTTTAGAAGTTTAGAATTTATGTTCCAAAGAAAACCTGACTTCCAAGTTTTCCATAAATAGCCAGTGAGAGAAGACAGAACATGCACAGTATTTTTTTCCATTCAAATTCAAAGGCCAGGTATTCTAACACCACTTGACTGCCCTAAAACAGAAAAATTACCTGATTATCTGTCATTTTGCATTGCCAGAAGTGAGTCACATACCACCTTAGTACCAGACCTGATATCAGGATTTCCTTAAGTGACCAGATATTTAGGCATTAAAATATTAACTTTAAAAATGCTTAAAAATGTAACCCTGAAAATTTTTCTCAGAAAAGTTCTGTATCTGGTTATTTGCTTAAAACACAATCCACAATCATTATCTTGTCCAACCTCAGGCCAGAAATGATGATCATCAAAAGTTTCTTGAGAACACCTGGGAATTTCAAGAGACATGTAGACAGAGCCCACATCTAATATTAATAGCTTTATGTTCATTGCTCAGTTCTATCATATGCTAACAGTCAATACATAAGAGTTCTCCTACCTCACTCCAAGTGAAGCCATTTCTTGAATATCTACTTGATTCCCATGCATTCAATAAAGAATCACATTAACATAGAGATGTATCATCAAAGAGAGAGGGAGAGAACTGTCTAAACACTGCAGAAACAGAAGCTAAGCCCAAAAACAAATGCAACATGCATATAGAACTCAGCTGAACTCAGCTCTTAGAGCTACAACACGGAATTGTGGAACAAAGTGCCTACTAAGCAGCTGATGCAGTCTCAGGTATTTTGAATTGTATCTCTGCAGGAAGATGTTAAAATCTATTTCTTTTCTTTTTGAAACAGCATGAATACCACAATAATTTAAGTGTGCAGTTCTTATATGTCCCCGTTTTCAATATTTCTCCTCAGTTTTCTTTTTTAATCTCTCGTGTCTGAAATTGTTGGGGCTTGTCTTTTGATAGCAATCAACAGCACATATAAATTGTATTTATCTGCTTGATTGCTTCAACTGTATCCCTTCTTTATTTTCTTCCTGTTACAGACTTGTGAAACCAACAATACACAGAGAAAAGGTGTGGCATCAGGCTCCCTGGAGCTAAAAAGTCAGACTCACCTTTTTCAGCTTGCCACTCTTCGTGCCCACAAACACAACACTGTAGCCATTGTAGACATATGAAGTAACAGAAGTCATCCGATCACGGCTGGATGTGTAAAGGGTTACCCCTTCTACCGGTATGGAGCCTCCCAAAGGCTGGTTAATGTCCAATCCACAGAAATTATCATCTATTGGAACTGGCTGAAAGGAAGAAGGCATATAGGTGAGCACAAGAGAAGAAAGATGGCAAAAGTTGGCAGTTTGAGCCTTGCCAAACAATCTCTGGCAGTATCTGACAAAAAAATCATTCTTTAACTGGGCCTGATATGAGATCCAAGGAAATAAGGATTTGTTTGTTCATTTGTTTATCTCTCTCTCTTTCTACAACCCCTTTCCTGTTTTAGGTAGGAGTTTTAAAAGATTTCTCTTGAAGATCACTCCAAAGTGTCATTTTTATAGATATAATTTATAGAGCTGTTTGCAGATATGCAACATGTGGACACACCAAGTAAAATAGTACCAAACAATATTTCTTTAAACAAAATTGTGTCTTGCAGCCCTTTGGCATTTCTGGACTATTTGTCATATTCTTTTGTGCTTTATTGTTCTCCTATCTCCTCTAAAAAGAAGAGGCCTTGAAGCCTCTGACTAACCTCTATATCCTTGATATCTCCATGCTAACTGGAAAGTCTTGTGGGCTTGGCATTTAACATTTACTAGGATTTGTCCAACCAACTCTCCAATTCATATATCAAACATAATCTTCCTTTATGTTATCCAGTCTGAAAGACTGCAATGACACCACATCTAGTCTTCACAAGCAGGACAGATAACTTGCTGCTGAGTATTGCATGGAAAAGTAATTGGTTTGGAATAAAAACCTTCAGATCGGTACAAAAGCCTGATGATGTGACTTTTTCACTGAGGATCTTAACATGAACTAATGAACAAGAAATGTAGTCTTCCCACAGAAAAGCTTAAATCCTCTTGTAGCTCAGGATGATCTTCCATGGTGTCCAAGGAATATGGTCCATCACCATGGTGCTCACCACTTTCCTGGCCAGGGACCATTACCATGGTTTGATTTTATTTTCCTTTCTGTGTGGAGACTTGCACAGAACTTGAAAAAGCCAACAATTTGAAGTATCTCATCTGCACCTGTTCTGATTGACGGGCAGTCCAATCTTATCTATGTTTACTGAAAACCAAGTCCTACTGAGTTCAATAAGCCTTAGTCTCTAGTAAGTTTGTCTAGATTGACATCTGAGATTCTCATGATGGAAACTCTGAGACAAGAGGATAGGAAATCCAGCTCCCTGACTTTTTGTTCATAAGCACACAGGACATACTTCAGAGGTATCAAGAGGGCTGCATAAAATCGGTAGACTATTTTACAGCCAGGAAGGCATGGTGCTTAGAGTATTGACCTAGAAACCTGGGAAAGTTGTAGTTTAAAATCTCTAGTCTCCTTCAAAAGCAGGGCTGTTGTTGCTGTGAGGATAAAAGTAGAGTGGAGAACTCCCTCTGCCTTTGATTCTTCCCATGAAAAGTGCTCTATAAATGCAAAGTAGTAGTAGTAATTTGCATATAGCAATAAGATTGCCAAACGATTTAATAAACATTTTATGTCATTGTTTTATGTCACTGATGGTCCTTATAAAAAAAGTGTGTGCATTATTGCTTCTTTCGGAGATGCAAGGTGCCACGCACCCCAATTCCATAATCCTAGTTAGCATTTTGTTTCCACAGTTCAGCAGACATAGGAAGCCAATCAAGCTTAGAGACATTAGGCTTAGAGCCTAAGCCATATCAGTGGACCTTAGTTTAGCTTATTATCCATCTTGCCACAGTTACACCGGACTTTCCTGAATCAGAGACAGAGTAATTCTTTCTACTTTTCCTGTGCAAATAACCAGAGTTGGCTGAATTCAGCTACATCATCCTCCCCACTTGTCAAAAAATGACTTGACTGCTAACAGCATGGGATCAGAAACAGCTAGGGAAACTGCAGGTGTCTGTTCTCAGAAAGAAAAAGGAAATGGATATTTCTGCCTTGTGGTTGCTCCCCTCCTTTCAAGGATACAGCCAGCCCCCTCCTATGTAACAATCTGTCTTAATGACGAGAGCCAACACGCTACTGTTTTCCAAGGCACATGGGATGCTGTTCTTGGATGGGCAGAAGCAATAGCAAAGAACTTGTCTATTCCACTCAAAAGTTGTAAGCAGTCCTCCTTTGCTGGATTCTTTCAGCTCTACACTAGGAACATATGAAGCTGCCTTGTGCCAAGCTGGACCCCAGTCCATCTAGTTCAGTTCTGCTAACATGAACTGGCACTGTCCCTCCAGGGTTTCAGGCAGGATTCTTTCCTGGTCCTATTTGCAAATGCCAGGCATCGAAACCTGGACTTTCTGCATACAAGCCATGTGCCCTACAACTGACTTATAGTCCTTCCCTTGTGAGGCATTGTGGCATGGGAGAAGCCAGAGGAATGGAACATTAACAAGCTGGGAGGTACGGGAACAGTAGCTATGCCAAATGGAAGTTGGACAGCAGGGCAGTTAAAACGGCAGTAGGAGAGGGGTTGGGAGATGAGGTTTTTACTAGGCAGATGGGCAGGAAGCCAAGATGAGCAGCCAACACAATCTTCAGGATTGAACATCTGTGAGGATGGAGCAGGTAGAAACAAAAGGCCTGCTACACTAAGAGTGCACTGCTACTCATATTTCAACAGAAAAAAAGTTCTACCATTCCCAGCAAACTTCAGGTAGCCATGGACTGGAGAACTCTTTGCATGACTGCTTTCTGTTTAAACATGCATAGGATTGCACCCTAGAGACATTGAACAAGAGAATCTTAGTGCAGAGAGAGCAAAGACCCTGCATGTGAGCACAGCAATGGAACTTGCAAAGCCACAAGAAAATAGAAAGGGTGATTACATTGCAAAGTGTGGGAGGTAAGGGAAAATTATTAGTATTTCGTATTTTCTAATTCATCTAGGTTTTTCTGCATCATTTAAATCTTCAGTCTGGTATTCACTGAGATGGACCCATGGCTCCAGCTGCCATGGCATCTTGCCTATGTGTACCAGTTGCTGCAAAATATGATTAGGAGGGTGCTGTTACATCCAGATGCTACTTGTGAGTTTCCTCATAGGCAGCTGGTTGAGTGAGCTGAATGCTTGACTAGATGGATGTTGGGTCTGATCCAATATGCCCCCTATGTTCTTAGGCAAGCATGGATCAAAAGACATCTCATCTAGGACACCGGATAGCAGGGTTGTATTCTTGCCTTTCAAGTAACCCTGGATTCTTCTTGGTCTAGGCTTTTTCTTTCTTTCTGATAATCAGTGCGACAGAATAAATGATTTCACTCTGTCAGCATCCAGAGCACTACTGAAAATGAGAAGCCTAAATGGCAAGTCACTGTTTTTCTTCATTGTGTTGGGCAGGCCAAAGAAGGGTTTCTGTCTAGTAGCAGACAGACTAAGGAACCTAATCACAGGAAGACCTCTGCTGGATTAGCCCAGGCAGATGGCTATGGGGAGCTGTCAAACAAGGCAGGAGAGCAGTAGCTTCATTTAACACCTACTAATACCCCACCAGTACAACTGGTTGTACTAATGTAACATCTTGCTCTAATACCCACCTTCGATTACTCTATTTGCCATGATGTTACAGATCAGATGGAGTTTGCTATGGCCGGGGGTGGGGGCAGAGTTCTTCTGAATTTAAGGTCAAAGAGGTCTCTCACACACAAAGGGGGCACTAAAATCATCTTTGGGGCTTGTTCACATGGAACCTTCCTGCTCGGGGAGAGTGGCTACTCTCAGGTTTGCCCCAGACCAGGTTACAGGAAGAAATGGCATCCTCTGTATCGATGACATCATCTTGTTTTTCATCATTATAATAGAACACTTGTAAAGAATTAATCTTTTTATTATAATAAATGAATAGATTACCTTTCTCAGTTTGATACTTGAGTAGCAAAGGCAAAAAATCACTTGATTGACACTGCTTCATTGTACAGCAACATTTGCAAATAGCAAGTGTTTTATACAATATATCCAGCAAATATTTATTCTTTGCAATGGCCTGTTGATACTGATATGTCATCACTGGAGTTTTTCTCATCCAGATTATGAAAACAGAACTAGCTTAAGGTCATAGGCTAAGCCCATGGCTGAGCTATGATTTGAATCTGTTTCTTCAAATTCAAAAACGTAAGTGCTATTTGTTAGAAATCATCAGCTCTTAAGATCTTATGAAGAAATATCAATAAGCAATTCTTTAGATACTTAAATTTCTTATCACTGTTTAAATGATGCTACCACTATTATATTCGCAGTATCTTCCTCCAAGGACAACTAGTTAAAATATTGTAAATATTCTTACCGCCTTGGTACATTGAACATCTTTCCCTAGCAGCCAGTTAAGTTCTAGGTTGCCTTCTCCCTGGTAGCAAGACTGTAGGCGCTCCTTAATTTGGGTATTGATTGCACGAATTGGAAAGATGCAAAGAGCTGAGTCATCAGGGGGCTGGTGGTACTGCTTTTGCCCCTTGGAGAAAATGGCAAAAAGGACATCATCTTCGGTGGAGATGTTGAGAGACCTGGCTAGCACCTCCCCTGGCTTGGAAAGATAGGCTGCCTGAAGGAGACGATATTCCACATCACCCTTGCTGCAACCAAAAGGCAGAGAAACGTAAGAGTGGAACTTGGGGTCATCCTTGCACAGACGCACAATTCGAGATGTGTAGAAGAGATCACTGGCTGAGTTGATAGACACCCCTTCAGGTGTCTCTGGTTGAACAGTCAGAAAATAAACAAAATTGCCACTGGCAAATCCATAGATGTAGAAGATGTCAAAGTGAGAGACCAAGGCCAGGGTATCTGAAGGGATTTTGATGAGTGATGAAACAAAGTCACTGTGGAGTTCATAATCCAACATGGCTGATGACTCAGGGTCACGAGGCAACTTCCGGCTGGAGAGTGTGGGGAAGTAATCCTGTTTGCCATCCACTGCTGTGCCAATGAAAAGCTTCCCATCCTCACCCTCAGAGCGAACTATAACTCCATACATAGTGCCAGTTTTGTTAACACTGGAAAGATAGTGCTCCTTCTTGTGCGATGGTTCCACCAGAATGAAGAGGTCATCCAGTCTCAGCAGTTTGCAGACTCCTTGGTATAGGCTACCACAGGCCAGAAGCCTGTTTTCTGAGTAATCGATAATCAGCAGCTTGTTAACATTGTTGGTCAGAGTCAGGATCTCTGTGCAGGGTTGTACGATGAGTGGCGGGTAGCAGGATTTGTTGTCCTCCTCAGGTCCTGTTTTGTGAGCTACCAAGATGGTCAAGTTTCCAGACAGCTTATATACCCGATTGATGGCTCCCACATAGACAGCTCCGGTGGCCTGATGAACAGTCAAATGATTGAAGGTCCAGTCACGGTTCTCAGAGTGGAAAGTATTATATATGGGAGTGCTGGTAACATTCCGTGAAAAAGAAACCAAGAAAAAAAACACCAAGGCCACTGACCGGCCTTCAGAGTCCCATATCCAAGGCCAGATCTTTCCCTGTTCCATCCTGTGGTGGATAGTGAAGAGGAAAGGGAGTGTGAACCTCAGAACTCCCCGTGTGCGGCTCTTGTTACAGCAGCATTCCTTACATGGTTCTACAGAAACAAAAGCACACATGCGCACAGCAAAGGTTAGACCTGAAATCTACAATTCAAGCAGGTTTTTTCATAAAGGACTCCTCTAAATAAAATAAAGACATCTCTAAACCTAGGAGCAGGATTCACATTTGCGTAAACGGTGTAAACTTTAGGACTCTGTTCCACCTCTGTGCATTAATTGTTATGCAGTTTAAATGATCTTAATATGCTCTGAGGCGTGAGTTCATTCAGCTATAGGAGGGAATAATCAATCTCAAGCTAAAGACAAGTGTTTTGCAGAAAGTTCACTTACCCTGTCATCAGAACTAACAACCTGGTTGAGGCAAGGAGGAGGGAGTTTTTGTCCTATTTTTGCCTTTTGCAAGGTGAGGAAGGGGTCTCCCTCTACCACACACTGTCCGTGAAATCCATGAGGGGATTATAGTTTAATTAAAGAGGAAGAAAGCTCAGCCAGAGTTAGCTTATATGTCTCCAGCACCTCCTGTTTGCTTCTGCATGCACAGACACCTTGGTGCCTCAGGCTCTGTCAGAGCAGCTTGGACTGGCAGGTCCATTGAGTAATGGCTGCATGCCAACTTGCATAATCTGTAGCAGGTCAGGAATATGCTGGTCACACTCAAATAGGCAAACATGCATGGAAATCTTGGCGCCTCCCCCAACTGAAATAAGATTCCTATGACATCTGAAAGACTACTCAACTGACTGAACTGTGCTCCTTCAATCGACAACAACTTGCATTACCAGACACACGGTGCTGCACTTTATGTGTACAGCTGGGAAGGACTGAAGCATAAAATGATGCTGATGAAGAATTATCTGCTATGTAATGTACTAGGTGTGCTGTGCTTCACCTATTATATAAAGGACAGCAGTGAAAAGTACTTTATTTTATTAGTTATTTAACTTTTATAACACCCACTAGCCAAAGCTGTCTGGGCAGTTTACAACAAACAAAAGTCTTGATCTGTGGGAAGAATACAAGAGCATTTTTCCACTGTATTTATTGTGCTAGGGGAGCAGCAAGGAGGGAACAAAGTTGATCAAGGACACTAAACTTCCTAGAATCTAGCACCTTCTTTCCTGGAAAGACAGGCCTCCAGTTAACATATCTATGGACACTACCTGATTAAAATGTTCATGGACAGAAGAAATAGCTCTAAGTCATTTCTTTGGATGCCAGAACCAGCTGTAGCCAAATTACTCAGCCTCTAAATTTGCAGAAATTTTCCTTCCATTTTCTAAATTTGCTTTTGTGCAAATTTAAAGATTGAGCAATAGAAAAGAGACATTGGAGCAACAAGAGGAGCTACTTTGACAAGGAGCTGCAGTGCAGAAAGACAATAACTCCCCTTTCTGGACTTGCTGAAGGTTCAGGGAAGCGTCAAAAGGGAAGAGGATGCAGATGTCAGTTCAACACTTGATAGTGAGAGGATTAGGTTTGCCAGGTACACTTGCTACATCTGCTTGGTTTCTTTCTTGGTGTTTCTGAAATTCCCAGATGGGTTCTTCTTTTGCCTTCCTAATGTGTTTCTCCCAGTCCTTTATAATAGCACACACATTAACCCATGGGTCCTCAAACTATGGCCTGCAGGCCAGATCTGGCCCACCATGCCCATTTATCTGGCCCACCTCAGAGGTTTTGGACTTGCTCAGAGAAAATGATCTCTGAGTGAGCAAGCTGCCACCTCGCCCCACACGCATCCACCACCACCGCCACCTTTCAACTGGCCCCCTGTTGAAAAAGTTTGAGCACCCCTGCATATAAGCAGTCCCATGTGATCATTTTATTGAATGCTGCCATTTCTATGTTGGAGCTTTTGTTGATCTATGTCCTTCAAAATTAAAAAGGGGCATGGAAAGAAGCAGGGAATCTGCCCCCCAGCCAGACCCAGGCATTACAAAGGTGCTCACCCCTCCTTGCTAGAAGGCCACTGCCTCTTGCCATCAACATTTCCCTTTCCCTGCCCTTGCTTTGCTTAAATGCAAAGTAGCAGTGCTCTGCATTCTGCAGCCATCTAGCAGTCTAACCCTCCCCATCCCATAAATTCCCTAGTCCAGATGAAATGGCTTGCTACACCAAGGGTACTGCATCACTACCAGAGGAATTAGAAGAGACTGACAGAGCCCTAGTGTAAATATCCTCATGAGTAACCTTTTTTTCTGTTTAGTACTACATTACCTCATGAGTAATCTTTAGAAACTTTTCTTCCATTTCTTAGAGAGTTCATTATGCCAAGGGGATGGAGCCCCCATAAAGTCCCTGCATAAAAATCCCACACAAAGCCCTGAACTGATTTGTTCAAAATAGATGGTGCCCTCCTTTGTTAAGCACCATTCCACCTGTGCTTGTGAGTGCCTATGCTTGCATTAGCCTCTAGAGTACTAGTAGGCGGCAATGCAACCTCAAACATCTTCCTTGATACCCATGAACATGCCCTACATCCACCTTTTGATTTTTTTTTTACTTGCAATTCTATTGCTGTTAAATAAGTTTGTTAGTCCTGAAAATTGCAGGTACAAAGAGTTTAGTATTTTCAGGCTAAGACTGCACCTTTACTTTTTACTCAGTCTTTTGGGCAGGTTATTTGTCCTTGGTAGTCACTTTGTGGTGGTACCTGGGATAGTTTCTCAAATTGTCAAATGTGCTCCCAACTCCCAAAAATTGCCTACCCTGTTCTAGTGTCTTCTGTAGTAACCAGAATAGTTTATGTTCCTTTCTTATCCTCTGTTCATTCTAATTCTTTCTGGTGTACTAGGCAGGGAGCTGGATGCCAAATATGGGCAAAATTTCCCTCCCTCTGCTACAAGAGTTAGAAGAATTAAGGGAGGAAATGGGCATCAATAAAATCCAGCCACAGTCAAAAAGAAAGGAACTTATTTCATGCTGAGGGCCATATGAAATTAAGCTGAAGGACTGCCAGTTATCCACTCCCCACTGTTATAGATGATCTAATCCCTAGTTTTATTATTTAGAAGCAATCAGAATACCCCTCCCTTCACACCCTCATTTGTCTTTAAGTCTTAAATTCAGAAACAAAATGAAAAACAGTGAATCAAGCAAGTGAAGGAACTTAAAGAAAAGATGCGGATAAATTACTGAGATGCTCAAGTACTTTCTGGAAAAAGAATGATTTTCCTGCCACAACACAGGTAAGAGTGACATACTTTCTTCAAAAGCCATTTGACCTTTATGTAAAGATATCACAGGGCTTTTGTCAGTTACATTCTTGGATTTCAATGAACAGTATTACTGAAGCTTGAAGAACCTCCAACTTCACCTGCCCCTTTCTTTTCTGAATGCTAGCTGAAGCTTACCCTGACTAGAAATGGCTTAGTCCCTGCTCGTTGCTGTCACAGCAGGGCAGCCCTTGACTGGCTTTGGTGGGCACCAGCAGGATGTTTCCTTCAATACTACCTTGCATCTTCTTCTGATCTGTATGCTGGTCATCCGCTGTGCATGGTATCTGTTTGAAGGAGCATTTGTTGCAATGGGGCTGAGTTTAGCAGCTGCCCTTCTTCTACAAACAAAAGTATGAACTGGGCTCAGATAGGACAAAGTGCTATTTGCATATAATCTGAAATCTATTTGCTATGATCCTCACTCAACTAGTTTTGGATGTCCACTTACACAGAGCTCCTTGGATTTTAGCATTCATAGTGCTCAAAGCATCCATTTTCTGTAAATTAACATAGGGGGACTATGCAACAACAGTGCTACATGTTATGAGCGTCATGGAAGGACCAGAATCGTACCCATTTTTACAAAGAAAACATGAAATGTGGAAGGACTGCATTCATCTTTAAACATATGTATATATGTGATCTAGAACTTAAGCCCCATCATGTATCCCAGGCATCTGTACAAGCATCTTTACTTCCACATGTTGAGGTTTGCTGCAGAAATCACCAGTGTTTCTTCTACCAACTGTAACATTGCCTAAATACACTGCACACAGCCTGAGTCTGATGTTCTGAAAGGGCAGCACATCATTATGTAATATATATTTTACTACCAAAGAGAGGGAGAAGTGCTTGTTGGATTTTCTGCTTCAGGTATCAGAATCATTCGGTTTGCCCTGGGTGCTATGTGACTTGACTTGGAGAAGAAGAGGGCACCATTTGCTGCTAAGCCCCAGGCAGTGAAATGTCTGGGTCAGCTCTGCCTTATTATCTTCTGCTTAATCGAAGATGGAATCAATCTCTTCAACAATGTCTACTTATCTAAGTAAAGAGACTATAGCAGATTCCAGCTTAGTGAAATGGAACAGTTTCCATCAGTTTCAAAGGCTACTTTTAGTCATCTATATGCACAGAGGTTCCTTATACCAAAGAACATTAAAGAACTGACAGAAGTTGCCATGCATAACCTAATAAGGCCCTAATAAGAATGTTCCAAGCTCATGCTTTGAATGATTCAAAGTATTCATATAATCTAGTGTAAACATCCCAGCCTTGTTTAGAAGTTTTCCAGATTTGCAGCATCTACCATTGTTGAAAAGAAGGTTCTAGCCATAGAAGACTTGTTCCTCGAGTGTTGTGGGATACAGTGCTTGATTTTTATTTTTATTTTTTGCCTTCTTCCCAAGGTGCTTTGGGGATTCTGTAAGGTTTCTATGGCAGGAACCATGCCACCCATTTGTATGGCTGTTTCTGAGCAAGCAAGTCAGGGATTTCTGGGCACAAAAAGGGGATTCCACAACTTTATGCTGTGACATAAAGCTGCTGATGCAAGACCATGATGTTTTGCTTTTAGGTTAAGCACGAGTGCTGTGTATGCTGGAAAGAGGTGTAAACAATTAGAGGATGTTAGTGCGTGAGTCCAAGAGAAAGAATTTGTGTGTGCATGCAAGTACATGTGTAATCCTCTGTCCCCCCAGCAAACATCCAGTTTGGCCCCTGGGGCCAACATGCCTGTTATACATGATGCTGGGAAAGACATGTTTCTGTTGCTTTGTATACACCCAACCTTTAACATTAGGATAGTGAAGACATTCATC